TTACAAGGCTGTCAGTCTTAGACACTTGCAGAAAAAAAAAGTTCTACCTTTAACACACTCCACCAATCAAATTCAAGAAATTTGACAAACATTTCTTAAGCACCTGTTATCTGCAAAGTGCTATGTTAGTCGCTGGGATAAAAAGACAAAATCAACTGGCCCCTTCCCTCAAGAAGCACTTAACACAGTCTCCTCTCCATGTAGATAATTGGTGTTTAATAAATGCTAGTTGGCTGACATATATGCATTAGTTAATAAATGCAATTACAAGAGGCAGAGGTTAGTAATAGCTAAGGGGAATCATAAAGGCTTCTGTTTTCCCTACCAAGTAGTATGTGTTGAAGGAAGTTAAGAGATTTTACCAGGTGGAGATGAGAAGGAAGAATGTTCCAAACAGAAAATGACTTGTGAATGGAACAGAAGTAGGAGATGGGGTTTCAAGATGAAGAACAGCTAGCAGGCCAGTTTGACTGGAATGAAGAGTGCAGAAAGGCAAATAATATGAAACAAAACTAGAAAGCCAGATTCTGTAGAGTTTTAAATACTAAGTCACAGATGTTGTGTAACAGAATCTTCTCTTTGGCCAGGTGATAATTTTCCTTAGGTACTGCCGACCACATGTTACAGCTTACTAGGTGATAAAATGTGGTATTAACATTCTCCAGTATGTAGAAAGATATGCTAGAGAAAATGTCAATGAAAATTTTTTGAAGACAGAGCAAAACTGAAAATTTTAATGGTTTTTGTTCCAGTTCCAATAGGCATACTCCATTGTAGTTTTATCTTACATATCATATTAAAAGTAAAAATGTATTTTATTGCTAAACTTAAAATGTTAAAGCTTATCATGACCCATTAAAAATGTGTCATACATATGCATGCAGTTATAAAAGCGGCAACTATAACACAAATTGTATGCAGTAACAGGAAATTCCAAACTCGTGGAGTTTTAATTCTGTATTGTGATGTTGTCATTCAGTTGTTTCAGTCATGTCCATCTCTTCGTGACCCCATTTGGGGTTTCCTTGGCAAAGATACTGGAGTGGTTTGCCATTTCCTTCTCCAGCTCATTTTACAGATGAGGAAACTGAGGCAAAAAGGGGTAGGTGATTTACCCAGGTTCATGCAGCTAATAAGTGTCTAAGGCCAGATTTGAAATCAAGAAAAGGAGTCTTCCTGACTTAAGGCCCAGAGCTCTGTGCACTATGGCACCCCTCACTGTCCTGTATCTTGATAGGGAACAGTATAAGGATCAAGTACTCCCTAAGCTAAGAAACACTGAGGACTTTTTCTATTGATGATTATTTAGAGTTGGCTCACATAATAGTGAATGTGTTTTCAGTTAACATGAAACATACTAGTTAACAGTTTGGTATACCAAAATTCATATTCCACAAATATTATAACATTGTTGCAATGGTATACTTATGCAGGATATCCAAAAACTTTTCACATGGTTTGAAGCCTTAATATTTAAATTTAATAATTTATCCTGTATATATCGTTTGTATGTGGTTGTTAGAATGTTGTCTCTTCCATTTGACTGTGAGCTCCTTGAAAGCAGGAGCTACTTGTTTGTTTTGCCTTCTCTTTGGAACTTAGCACAATGCCTGGCACACAGTAGGTGCTTAATACTTGCTGGGGTAGTTGGTACAGTGGATAGAGTGCCAGGCCTGAAGTCAGGAAAATCATCTTCCTGTGGCCTCAGACATTTACTAGCTATATGACCCTGGGCAAGTCATTTAACCCTGTGTGCCTCATTTTCCTTATCTGTGAAATGAGCTGGAGAAGGAAATGGCAAACCATCCCACTATCTTTGTCAAGAAAACCCCAAATGGGGTCATGGAGAGTCAGACATGACTGAAATGACTTAACAACAATAAATGCTAGTTTACTGACTGACTAAACTTATACTAAGACTTTTGGAACATCTTCTATGTGAGATTGTAAGAGTGATTTCTTGGGAAATCCTTATTTCTGGGCATGTCTAGTTTCTCCATAAGCATATTTTTTAAACCAAATGAAAAGGCACAAAGATTCAAAATAAATGCATTTCACATACTTGTGACATGGTGTACTATATAAAGATACAGCCTTGAAATCAGAAAGATCTGAGTCCAAGGTCCTGCTTCTGAATGCCATATACTGGCTATGGGACACTGGGCACATCACTTAACCACTTAGTACCCTAGGCAACACACTAAGACCATAAGTTGCACTAATAAAAGGGTTTTCTTCACCTTGGAGCTCCCTATACCAATGAAATCACATGTCTAGTCCCTATTCCTACATACTTGTAATGAATTTGTTTCAGTAATTGCAATTACTGAATCTCTCCACGTGACAGAAGAATCCCCCCACTGTGATAAAAGAATTCAAAAATCTGCCAAGACTTGGCATCTGTTTCATATTTGGGACTCATTCCCTACAAAGTTAAAGAATGATTGATTGATTTAGCATGAATTATAATTTCATAAGAAATAACTTTTTTGCCCATTTGCTATTCCAGGACAAGGCACTACAAAAGCAAATTAGCCTCTTTATCACACCACTGAAAGATACAACTCAGGGTTCATTTTGTTGTGAAAAAAGAATATTTGACACTGATGGCTGAGATAATGCAGTTTTTGGACTTTTTTTTGGCTACTTGGTATTTATTTAATGTTAACTTTAAATATTATATACCATGTATCTGCATATAGATAGACATGTACATATATATGTGCATGTGCAGGCATGTATTTGTGTATGTATAAATATATGCAGTGTCCTAAAAGTCTTAGTATAGCTTTATGCTTTTAAAGCTTAAAACTATAATAAGACTTTTGGGGACACCTTGTATATTTGGTGGTAAAAGTTATTCAGCCACAGCAAATGATACTATTTCTACAAATAATAATGCATATAAGTGTGTGTATGTATGTGTGTATATATGTATGTATATGTATATACAGTCATCTATATGTGTGTATATACACACACTATGTATGTATGTATATATCTATATCTCCTACTTTATCCTCACAACAATCCTGGGAGGTAGGCCGTGCAAGTTATTATCCTTATTTCATAGATGAGAAAACTGAGGTCTATTGATGGTAACTGCCTTGCCTAAGAGTAAAGAAAAGAATTGTGAATTTATGATAATCCACTTTTCTAAAAGTCACTCTAAATGACAGTCTATGTATTCAATGAGGAGAAGGAAGCCAACAGCATTATGTTCTAAGTTCTACAGTCTTTCCCAAAGGGCCATTTTACTTATACAACAGCAGTCATAAAGATGGGGTTCAGAAGTGAGGTGTCAGGTATGGCAGCACGATTGGCTAGGCTTGGAGATGGAAGGTCTAGTCAGAGGTGGGGAACTTGGGGCTTTGAGGTCACATGTCGCCCTCTAGGTCCTCAAGTTCGGCCCTTTGACTGAATTCAAACTTCACCAAACAAATCCCCTTAATAAAAGGATTTGTTCTGTAAAACTTAGACTCAGTCAAAAGGTCACACCCAAAGACCTGAAGGGCTACATGTGGTCTTGAGGCCACAGGTTCCCCACCCATGGTCTAGATTCAAATCCTGACTCTGAGACTCACTATCTTACCCAAGCAACCTTAGGAAAGTTATTTAAAGCCTTGGTTCTTTCCTTTGTAAAATGAAGGGACTGGGCTAGATGATTGCTGAGATCCCTTTAGAAATCCTATCCTCCTACTTTCTATTTTGTGCCTCTCTTATCTTTTCATTCCAATAAAAAGGAAAATATTCTCCTCTGTCAGCCTGGAACCAAAGAATCTTGGTATATGTCAACCTAGGTAAGTCACTTACTCCTTTTGGCCTCAGCTTCCTCATCTGTAAAATGGGGATAATTATAGCACCTACTTAGAAAAGTGAGGAAGGTTGTTATGAGGTTCAAATAATATAACCTGTGTAAAGCACTTTGCAAACACTAAAGGCTATATGAATGCTAATTATCCAATCTCTTGGAAAAAAATAGAATAAAATTATGTGCCTGGCACTGTGCTAAGCACTTTATAAATATTATCTCATCTGATCCTCTTGACAACCCTGGGAATTAGGTGCTATTATTATCCCCATTTTTACATTTGAAGAAATTGAAGCATACAGAGGTTAAGTGACTTATCCAAGGTCACATAGCTAGGAAGTATCTAAAGATGGACCAGAACACAGGTCTTCCTGACTTGAATCCAAGCTCTCTCCACTCTGCTTCCTAGTGCCTGTAGCAGAAAAATACGACAGCCTAGATCTGAATCCCACCTCTGCAAGTACTATCTGTGTGATTGCTGACAAGTCACTTAATATCTCTGGGTCTCAGTTTGTTATTGATAAAATGAAGACGAAAAAGTAGATAATATCTGATATATATTGCTCTTAAAAACTATAACTCTTGAGGGGGGAATAGTCATATCATGAACAAGAGAAACATGATGCCTGCTTGGCCCACGCCTCTATGGCCACAATACCTTTTGGCCCACAACCTCCACAAAAGTCATACAGTAAGGCATGACATATGTCCGCACTCAACTAATGCATTCAGTATGTGATGTCTGAGAGTAGTATAAATAAGATTTCCTATATCATGTTGATGAATCATTATTTGTTTAAAAAAAAAACTACTTTGAAAGTGGAACTGACCAAGCCTTTTGTACTAATACTACAATCAGAAACTGTGCAAATGACCTATTCCATCCCTCTGCCCTCATGCTGGATATGCATAAACCAGTTCAGAAAATGAGAAACTATTCTATTCTTTAAAACGTCCTGGGAAAGAGATTGTGCAATCTCCCTCTTCCAATGTTTAACAGATTTCATCACCAGAATTTTTTTCCCTTATGTTTAACCTTAACTTCAAACACTATGGTATATATAATCTAATTGCTGAAAACAGTCTATCATTGCTACTGTTGAGAATTGATGAGTATATTTAAGAAGGTTTTTTTTAAATGATTAAACTTTTCATTAACTTTCAGATTAAAAGCTATCTGGAAACTCACCTCTGCCAGTTGGAAGAGTGCTGACTTCCCACAGCGTTTCACTGGCTCAGGACTACCCAACTGTGAAGTATTTGAAGAGATCTACATTGAAAACAATTCACATAAAGAATGTTACAATACCAGAATGTGGCCGTCTGCTCACAAATACTCAACTTTCACTGAGTCTCTAAAATACCATTTGTTATTCCCAAGCACTCAAAGCTCTCTAATATACCTACCTTACCCGTCTGAATTTATAGAGGTTAGTTAAATGGGGGGTGGGGAGGGTGGGCAGAGGGAAACATTTATTGTGCTTCCCTGCTAGCCAAGCACTGTGCTAAGCTGGAGAGAGACTTACAAAAATCAGTTTCTACCCTCAAGGAGCTTGCATTCCAATGGGAAAGAAAAACTTCATCCAGAAACAATGACTGGATCGACAAGTTGACTTGATCATGGTTCCTAGTTCTAGAACAGGGAGGGCTAAAAGAGGAGGAAGTAGCCAGTGAGGAGAGTGAAAGTAAATAAAGCATAGCTAAAGTTTTATAATAGTTCAGGAGAAGGAGAAACCAATCAGAGGAACTGATTCTATTAAGTAGAATCCTTAGTTGTTATTACTATAAATCTCAATAATCACAATACGTAGTTTACACGTGGGTTAGGTGGCTATTTTTAAGGTGATAATTTTCTTGGCTGTCATTTGAGTGCAGCATGAGAAAATATCCCCCTTTTTGTTTTTTAATTGACTTACAAGCTAAACAGGAAAAGCACTGATTCCACCACAACAAAAATCCATAGAATCACTTTCATTTGGGCAAACACAAATAAAAATTAGTCTCCTTAGGACTCCATGGAAAACAAAATCAAATTATAAAAATTAACAGACTGTTCTATGTACCAAGCAAAGAGTGCTGTGAAACAAAGAAATATTTAAGATACAAAGATGTGATCCCTAATCTCATCAACTCTACAAACTAGACAAAGGGACAGAGCACATTTTACTAAAAGACAATCTATAATGCAAGTAGCATGTGTTAAAAATGGAAAACAAATGGCACAATAACTGCTTAGGTCCAATGAAAAGATTTCACTTGCTGTGTGTGTGTAACTTTGTCTAGAAATATCTTACAGCTAAATGATTCAGTGGATAGAGTACTGACCTTGAGTCAGGAAGACCAGGACCTGAATTCAAATCATACCTGGGACACTTTACTAGCAAGTCAGTTAACCTCTTCCTACTTCAGGTTCCTTATCTATAAAATGGGGATAATAATAGCATCTATCTCTCAGGATTGCTACCAACATTATTCTCACTTATTAATGTTAACTCTATCTTCTTCTAGTCAACCATAATCTAGTGTACTTCCTGTATGCTGAAGAACAAGTCAGTTAATATCCATTTATCCCGAAATATCAGGAAATGAGATGTTGCATCTAAGATGACCTTTCCCATTGGCTGGTGTATGTAGAATTGAAATGGTAGAGTAATTGATTTACAAAGTTAATGATCAACTGCTCAGCTAGACAGAATGGTGACATGGTGTAGACCCAAGAGCTGCCTTTGTAGTCAGGCAACTCTCTATGACTATAAGTGGCAGAGAAGGTGCTGATCTGTATTGATAGACTGAGTTACTTCATCAGAAGTTCCCTACACTGATAAAATCACTGGTCCAGCAAAAAATAAATTTGTTAATACAAAGAAGGTGGGCCCTTCCCTACCTTATAGCATAGCTATTTGAAGGCAGGTACCATAACTTATTTATCATTGCATTTCCCCAGCCTAGCTTGGTTTATTTTGTACATAGCAGTCATGTAATTACATAGTTATTGAATTTTATTGAATTCTGTGCCATTAAACAGAAAAGCATTTTAAATGGAATACACTCTTTCACACATTCATTCAGTAATTCTAGCAGACTATGTTCTTGACAACGTACGTCCCCAGATTAATTTTTCATAACACTATGGATTGGTCTGTCACTCTTAATCCTATCAGACTATTCAGTATGATAATTAACGCTTGCAAAAAATGCCTCTGCTATTCACTTTACTAAGAAATTCTCAATTATTCTTGAACAAGTCTCAAAGATGATGATTTACAATAATGAAGCCAAAAAAAAAATCAGCAAATAATCCAGATAACTCAAGCCAAACCCAAATAGAAGTGAAAGAGGAGGGAGAAAGATGGCTCTATATAACTTTCAAACTAGATACCATAAAGATCAGTGGAGAGGATTAGTAATTCATGAGAGACAGCAACCAAGAAGGAACTAGAAACAGACTCCATGACCTCAGGTGTCTAAATGTAATTGGATGAGGTATGGGTAATAAATAAAGTGTATTAAATATACTAATCCTGAGGGGAAAATGACCTCAGAGGTATAAATGAAGCTTGGCAAAATAGAACTCAGGCAGTATATCATAGCATCTGGAGTACAGAATTTGATACCATGAGACCTATGTTTGAATCCTGCTTCAGATTACTGGTGGTGTGACTCCCAATCAATCAATTAACCACTCAGCTTCCTCATCTAATACAACTTTTTCACTTTACATATAAAAACCTGAAGCCAAGAGACTTGTGCTACCCATTTCAAAAGGTTGCTGTGATCTAGCCCTTCCATCAGACTTAGAGCCCTCAAGCTAAAGCAGCAGTTCTATTCAGGATGATGGCAACCTGTAAATAGGGAGGTTTAAGGGAAGGAGGTTCAGCTGAGGTGGGCAAAGAGGTGGCGGCCTCTGTTATGCCTCTCCACCGTTCCTTCTTTCCTATTTTCAGCATAGTTAAATAAAAATAAATTCCTCAAAAAAAAAATTGGTTGTGAGGGAAGGACTTGGCAAACTTCAAAATTCTGTTTAGATGTGAGATGCCAGTAAATAATATCCATAGAAGGATATACTTTACTCAGTAAGAGTAGACTAGGCAAAAGGTAGTAGATTAGCATATTAAGAATGCATATTCACTTAAGGAAATCCAGGTAGAGTACAAATAAAGGCACCCTAAAGAATATTTGGGCCATGAGCAATAGAAGGAAATGACAGAAAAAATATTGTAGTGAGGGCAAAACAAAGACCAATTTGTCCAAAAGGAGATATAAGTTGGTAAAAACAAATCATGAACCTGGCAAAGAGGCATAATATAGTGTGATGGGAAACTATAGTTGTATGGACATCTGATATAATTCACTTTTTCCAGAAATAAATTCTTGACTTGCTTTAATGGTAATTTCATTCATTCATTCATTCATTCACAGATGAAACAGAGAGGACATTATTTCCCACCTAATTCTGACCATTAAGAAGAAATCAGGAAATAATGGGAAAAAAAAGGGTAGGAAAGAAGACTTAGCAGTATCACATCTCAAACTACAAAACAGAAATTATCGAAATTATTTGATACTGATTAATAAACAAAGAAGGGCAACTAGATGGTACAGTGGATAGAGTGCCAGTACTGGAGTCAGGAAAAATCATCTTCCTGATTTCAAATCTGGCTTCAGAAGCTTACTAGCTGGGTGATCCTGGGCAAGTCCCTCAACCTTGTTTGCTTCAGCTTCTTCATTTGTAAAATGAGCTGGAGAAGGAAATGGTAAAACCCTCCAGTACCTTTGCCAAGAAAACCTCACACAGAGTCAGACACTACCAAACAACAACAAAAAGAAATAGAAAGGTCAATCAGTAGAAGAAAATAGGTACACAACATAAAGAAGCTAATTAACCTAATAGTCTGGTGTTTGATAAAACCAGCTACTGGGGTAAGAATTCACTACTCAACAAAAAGTAATAGGAAAACTGGAAAGCAATCTGGCAGAAATTAGATATAGAACAACATCTCACATCAAATATTAAGATAAGCTCCAAATTGAAAAATAACCGAGACATTAAGGATGACATAAATAAATTAAAGAAGAATGGAAGAAAGTACCTTTTGGATCTATGTACAGGAAAGAGTTCATGAACAAACAGGAGATAGAGAGGATCACAGAAGACAAAATGGTCAAATCTGATTACACAGAATTTAAAAACTTCTGCACAAATAACACCAATGCATCTAAGATTAGAAATCAAACCAGTAATGGGGGGAAGGGGATTTTTGCAGTAAGTTCTTCTAATAAAGGTTTCATTTCTAAGAAATATTGAGAACTGATTTAAAGATATAAGAACAAGGGCCATTACTCATTTGATCAATGGTCAAAGGCCATGAACTGATCATTTTCAGAGAAAGAAATCCAAACTATCATAATCCATATGAAAAAATGCTAAAAATCACTGATAATCAGAAAAATGCAAATTAAAGATACTCTGAGGTTCTACCTCAATCCATCAGATTGGCAAAGCTGACAAAAAAGGAAAGTGACAAATGTTGAAGGTGCCATGGGAAAAAAAGTATTGAACTGCTGGTGAATTGATCAAATCATTGTGGAAAGAAATTTGGAATTATGCCCAAAATTATGCCTACCCTTTGGCCCAGCAATAATACTACTAGGTCTCTATCTCAGGCATATCCAAGAAAGAAGACAAAGGCCCACATGTACAAAAATATTTATAGCAACTCTATTTGTAGTAGCAAATAACTGAAAACCAAGAGGGTGCCCACCAACTGGGGAATGGCTAGACAAACTGAGGAATATGAATGTAACTGAATACTACTGTGCTATTGAAAATAATGAAGTGGACAGTTTCAGAAAAATCTAGAAAGACTGGTATATTGAGTGAAGAAAGCTGAATGAGGACAATTAATACAATAATAATACTATAAAAACAGTTCTGAAAGTCGTAAGAGCCCTCATCAACATAATGACCAAACATGATTTCAAGACTAAAGAGGAAGCATGTGACCCACCTCCTGACAGAGAGTTGATGAACTCAGGGTTCAGAATGAGACTTTTTTTTTTTTAAATAGGGCTAATGTTGTAATTTGTGTTACCTGAACATGCATAAATTACAAGGATTTTTCTTTCTTTCCTTTAACGCTGGGGTAAGGAGAGAGAAAATAAATTTTGTTACTTAAAAAAAATAAAATTTAATTTAAAAAATAGCCAAAAGGATAATTTAGTCATGAAAGTAGAAATGTTGGGAAACTTGGGGGAAAAAAGTGAGCACCT